CTATATAAGCTTCAAATACATTTTTTCTCATTCTTGCAATCTTTAAGATGGTTGGACTCCAACCCCCAGAATCCCCAGCCGGCATGCTGGCTGGGGAATTCTGGGAGTTGAAGTCCACCCATCTTAAAGCTGCCAAGATTGAGAAACACTGCATTAGAAGCTTATCTAGTGGACATCCTTGAAGTTCTTGTTCTGCCTCCCCCCTTGTCCTCCTTATGGTCAATCGGGCACACACTTCGGATTGTGTTGCTGCACCCAACCTGGACGGCCTCAACACCCCCCTTTCTCTCCTGCTGGCAGAAAACTCCCAGAAAAGCAAATTTCTTTGGGGCTGTTATAGGACCATATGGGTAGGGGGAGGAAGGGAGGTTGGAGTATGGATACGTCATTCCCATCCAGCAACCTATTTCTTTAATAACGCAGCATAGAGGAGGGATCACCTGGTGTCCTCCTTTCCAACTAAATTCTGCTGCTGTTATGTATATAAAAGGGTCAAGGGTGGAATAACCAAAAGCCACTCCCTTTGGGATTGTCCGTGCTAATTACCCACAGTATTATTTCCAGTGACTCTGGAAAGTCCTGTGCCCTTTTGATATATAGATAATGTAAATCCTTGTCTGTCGTTTGTGTCTTTCACTCTCCCTGCTTGCCTTTTACTGTATCTTTGTTTTGCCCCCTAATTGCTTTTGATCTCTGCTGATGTTTAATGAATTAACCAGCTATATTTTTGCTAGCTAATCTGAATGGTGTGTGTGCATTTGCTATGATCTGGATCTAGGGATTGAGTGGGAATGTGCTGGGGCAAAGTCAGCTGAAAGTTATTCACAGTAATTTTCCAACAGGCCTAGGCTTGCAGAAGGTATAAATTTGGGCATTTATAATGTTTTTAAACCCACAGAAGATACATTACTGGTATATTTGGCAGTTTATCTGAAATATTATTTCTCACTTTTAATGAATTTCAAAGACTGGTGGGATCTTAATGCGGAATTATGCATCCTTCTCTCACGATATTCGTCAATGAAATTATGAGTTTTCTGAATGGTGCTAGTCAACCATCGTGTGTATTTTGTACCGTGCATTTTTAAAACTGATTTTTAAACACCTTTGAATCGATTAAAATTTGTCCTGCTTGTTCCCTCATTTTCGTGCAATGTTTTGCAATAAAGAAACTCACGCACAGTCACTCCGTAGTTCTCCTAATGCTTTGTCAGCCTCGTCCATTTCAGAAAATCAAATATTATTCCACCTTAAGAACTGCCCCAGCCCTCTCCCCACCCTCAGCCACACAACAACCGGGCTATTATTGGATATTTAAATATAGTTTGTGGTTTCTATCTTGGTGGCTGGAACGCTGCGTCTGTCTCCATTGCTTGGTTACTAGAGGTGTCTGAATACAGCAGACACACAGAGAGGTGGAAAAAACAAAACGCAGACTCTTTGAGAAAGGTTTGAGATCTGGGATTGCAGGAAATCCAGAGCTCAAGATAGATTCCTGTGGATCAGTCCATGGTCACAGATTGGCTGAAAAAACAAAAAACCTCCCCAGTAAGTATTCTATACAATTTGATTGGATGACATTGGGATCCTTTCCTCTTTGAGATCTGAATCTCCCTGTGGCTTGCTTTTCCTCCTTTCCATCAAAGTGTTTTGCTTTTAAATTTGAAAATCAGTTTTTAATTATGGCCACGCGGAAATGTATTGACCAGCGGCTTCACTTCTTCCCAGCAGCTGTGCAAGAGGTGAGGGGTGGAAATTAGGGCTAGGCTCAAAAGCTGACCGGGCGAATGGTTTGATCCCAACCAATAGGACCGGATCATTAACAACAGGCAGCAGTGAAAATGTTCATGTCCTAAAATTCATCCACTGAGAGAATGCACCATTAACTCTTTCTTGCCAAGATTGGTCTTCCAACTTTGGGCACAAGACAGAATAAACACAGGGGTTGCCACCTCCCGCCTGGCACTTCGATAGGATGCGAAGGTTGAGCAAGAAAAATGAGTGCTATCAGAGTCAAAAGACAGGGATGGTTGGGGGGGAGGAAGTGTTCCTCTCTCTGGCTTTGCTGAACTACGGTTCCCAGCATCCCTCATTATATGGGGCAGTTGATAAATCTTCATCTCCCTTTGGAAGGCTGCATTCCCCATTTTTGATCTCTGCAGAAACGTCTTCATCCCATGTCAAACTTTCCAACTATTATTCACAACTTGCACCTCTTGGCTGCCTGTAGGATAGGCAGGATAGAACCTCACAGGCCGATAAATCAATAAACCAATGTCTTGCTACTCGTTCTAAGCCTCGAGGATCCGGGATGTTGGTTTGGCTTCTGGAAATGCACATGTGGAATCACCGAATTGGAAGGGACCTCAAAGGTCATGTAGCCCAACCTCCAACTCAGTGCAAGAACTGTTGAAGTAGATGGACAGACTCATCTGTCTTCATGCACAATGGTAAATATAATGTGCAAGTTGTGACATCCCCTTGGGCCTCCTGTTTTCCCAGAAAGCGTTTCTCTCCTTTTTCTGGATCCTTATGTTGTAATTATTACACCCACTCTGTTCACTGCAGGCAACAAAGGTCCCCCTTGGAAAAGATGAAAGCAGCTGCTGTGGGGCTCTCAGGCGTGGATTCCCAGGATCCACTGAAGCTGCCACGCTTTGTTTGGACGAATCTCGTGTTCCAGGTTCCCCAACGTCAGATCCAATCCAAAGGTATGGGGGTACAGTTTTCACCTTGACTGAGCTGTCCAAATGTAGTACCGTGCCTTGTGGTTCCCAAAACCGCAATATGAATCCCCAATATCGAAAGCCTATTGCCTCCTGGATATTCCCCACATTATGGGTTATCACACTCATAATCTCCATTCTGCAAACCAAGTACCTAACTGCAGCATTCCAAGATCTTTGGATTATTTGAAATTTCAGCTTTTTTACCTGGAAAGCTGGAAGATAAAATGTTCAGTCTCAGCCCTCCCTGTCTTTGCCCATTTACAGGTAGTCCTTTTTAAGCAACTGCCTCGCTTAGCAACCATTTGCAGTTATGACGGTGATGAAAAAGTAACTTTGTGACCGATTCTCGCATTTACAACCTTTGCAGGTCTGTAAAGCAAAGGAAAGCTGAAATAAGAACATAAGCACAGTTGCAGTTTCACTTAGTGACAGCTTCACTTAACGACCAAGTTGCAGGTCCCAGTTGTGGTTGCTAAATGAGGACTGCCTGTATTTGTTTCTGTCTAGCTCTACTGAAACTGCAGGACAGGGGTCAAAAAATAGTTAGGAGACTGTCATCTATGAAGATGTGTATTTTTAAAAAATAATGATTAGTTAATTTTATGCAGTGGAGATTATTAGAGAATTACACATTGATTGATATTTTGACATTTTGGTTTATTCTGACTAGTGCGTACCCAGTAAAATCTGAGTGTGGGATACTTGAAACAGATGTGGAATGTGGATCACCCTTCCCTATTTTGAGCCCTGGCCAGATGTGGTAGATTTTAATTTGTGTATTCCTTAGCCAAGAATCAGTGTGATGTAGATGGTACAGTCTGGACTAAGGGTGAGAAAATCCAGGTTCTGGTTCCCTCTCAGCCATGGAAACTCCCTGGGGATATTAGGGTCAACCTCTCCCTCTCAGCCCAAGATCCAGGGTGGTCCAGTGGGGAAGAGACACCCAGATTCTGGTCCCCCCAAAGCTGCAGAAGCTCCCTGGAGGACTTGGGGCCAGTTCCTCCCTTCCCTATACTGGGAAGTTGAAAAATTTCTGTTTGTCAGCCTTCACTGAAACAGGGTAGTAGATTATGGTCCATACCTGGCCTTCATCCTGCAGTGGATTGATTGAGGCTGATAATACTGTAATTCTTTAGCTATCAGCCACAGATGATGAGAGTTGAAGACCAAAACATCTGGAAGGTTCCAGCTTGCGAAAGGATGATGTGGATAGATAAATAATCCTCTTTACATCCCATATGTATCCCTCCCCGCTTTTCTTTTTAATTTCAGTGACAACCAGGAAAACCAGGAGGCAAGAAAGAAATTTGGCAGCAGTGTCAAAACAAGGTTTAAGGAGTGAAGGCTGCATCCCAAGAAGAAAGAATGGAGAAAGAAAACTGCTACCTCTCTGGACAAGTTGCAGCGAAGAAGATGAAACAGAAGATGGTCGAGCATCTACACTACCAGGATCTCCTGCTGTGAATCCTCCACTTTTGCCCGCTCCAAAGAGCTTGGACACCTCAGAAAAGCAGCCCCCCCGAAAGATCCTAGTTGATCTACGACCTCTTCTGGAGAATGTCATGGATCCCGTGGACTCTTGGCGAGAGAAACCATTGGAGAAGGATCCCCCAAAGGAGAGGTGTCCTTCTTCCAACTCTGGTGATTCCAGAGATGAAAGTCTCTTTGGAGGAGGAGGTGACGATCAGGCCACAGAAATGCCTGCTGAGTTTTCCAAGGATTGTGGGATTCCCAGAGTTCATCTCTTCTTGCCTCCTATCAGAGCCTCCAAGCTTTACAGAAAGAGCATCAAGACCTCAAGAAGAACCATTTGGACATCTCCGGTAGAATCAACACAGCTTCGGAAAACCACCTTTCCTGCCATCCGGACTTTTCAACCACAGCTCCAAATGCCAGTTCTCCTCCCCAAGACTGATCTGCAGAAGCACGTTCCATTCGAGGCAGAGAGATCAACAGGACCAGAGGGAGGACCAGAAGCAGCTGCTTGGGGGCTGGTGGGCACCTTTGCACTGTGGGGAGCAGGCCATTGGTGTTCCCACCAAATGGAGGTCTGGGGTGGAGGTGGGAATTCATTGTCTGCCTTGGGGGGTGTCGGCGGCTGCAATGCACTCAGCAGAAAGGCCATAGGAGTGGTGGGAAACCCATTTTTAGAAATGGTGGAAGTAGGTGCTTTGCTGTACGCCAACTTTGTATTAAAAAAAAAAAATTAATAGAAAAATCTGGGAAAAAATGACCAAGAAGACCTCCATAAGCACTGACCTCTGTTGTAAGAAACCTTTGCATTGCGTGTTGTTAAACTTTCAGGACTCAAGAGTCTGACATCGGGGGGCACAAGGCTTTGCTTGCGCCCTTACTCCCTCTCTTGCCCCGTTTTCTTCCACTAACCCGGTGCAAATCACTAGCAGTTAAGGGAACTGTTAATTTATCAACCAAACTGAAATTGCTGCCCAATGCCCATCGACCCAAGTTAAGTGACATTAAGCTAAGGTAACCAGTGGACAGTCAGAAGTTCAGCCAGCCAGGTGAATGGTGGTCTGGCCATTCACGGCGGCAGAAAGCCCGTAATCTATTTTCTTTGGGGTACCTGACTAGTGGGGAAAAGGGCAGGACAGCCCCAAACCCAACGTGTCCCATGTTTTGTGGCCACGTACTCCCAAGTATGTCTCAGGCAGAGGGGACATCGAGGAAGCAGAGGGAGGTCCTCACTGAGGGGGTTCAGGGTTGATGGGCACTGGTTTTGGGGAGGCATGGGGCAGGGCTTCAAAGGCTCCAACCTGTCAACAAGGAGCTCTGTCAGGAGGGGTAACTTTCCTCCAATTAGGAGCCACACATGTGATGTCACCAGAAGGGTGACATTGTCACAGAAAAGAGATGGGTCCATTTTTCCCCACCCCCATTTTTTAAGGTTCAGGAAAGAGAAATGGCTCCCTTCTCATTTACATTCTTAGCCCCAAACCACACATCCAAATTAAGCAGCCCCGCCCCCACAAAAAATCAGGCTGATTTCACTTCCATTTTTCTATTTTGAGTTTTGAGTAGAAGATAAAACCAACCTAAATTGCAGAGCCAAAAGTGACTCGTTTTGCTGCCACAAGTTCACTAGTTGAGCCCTGGCGGGGTGTGTGTGTGTGTGTGCACGGAGACGGCAGGATTTCCACCCCCGAATGACAGGCGGTAAGATTTTTTGTGGCTTGTGTGTGACCCTGCAGAGTATCCAGATTAGTTTCATGATTCTGGATGTTTAAGCTGCTCTTTTGTTGCTCCTTCTGCAATTCATGTTAATTGGGGAATGTCTAATCAAATGATACATAACTGGAGCATGTATCACAATTGGAGTTTTTCATTCATGTTGCCTCTTACTTTGTATCAGTAAAGCATAATTCTACATCTGGGTATATCTCATTAACCTTATGGGGAGGCCACAGCTTCATTTAGAACTATGTAAGGCAAAGTCTCAACCGAGTCACGCTCATCTGCTGGTAATCTGATGGACACATTCATGAAGCTTTCTCAGCAGCAAATTGGAAATGATTTTCCCTAACCTTGTTCTGGGGTGTCTGAGGAACTTTTGTGGAATTTTCTCATCCAAGAACTAACCAGATCTGATCCTGCTTTGCTTCCCCACCCAAGATAACCGGCTGACCCCAACCTGCTGATACAGCACCAATTGTCCGACTTTTACATTATTAAACATACAGTGAAAAAAGGATTAAAGGCCCCTTGCTTTGCTAGAGAAATCCTGCAACCATTTTTCTGCTTTCCATTCCCCCCAGCCCGCCGCCTCCTCGCCAGATTTTCAACTTCCCACCCAGCTGCTTTTGCAGAAGCTGCAGGAAACTACAACGAGTAACAACCATCTGCTGATCACACAAGTCCTGCGTTCGTTGAGGGAAGAGCTGCTGGGGGGCAGTCCACGTGAGTCTGACCACAGGTAAGAGTCTGGGACCTCTTTCTGGCACTTTTCTGCAGGCTGACAGTAACCACGTCTGTGTGTGTGCCTGTCTGAAGCAATTAGTCCTGCAGTCTCCTCCAGACCCATCTTCCACCCCCTATCCCGGACCTGTGGTTCCATTATCCACTGGCTGGCTGTCCCTGGCACACGATGCCTGCAGGGTGTGATCCAAAAAGGGAAGATGCGCATAAAAATGGGCGAAGCTTCAGCTGGACTGTCATGGCCACCATCTTGGCTTTTTAAACCACACCGTGCGGACACCCCTGTGTCCTGGAGGCATCTGATGGGCCATTGCAAAAACAGGATGCTGTGTGAAATGCAACCACTTTGTTCTGCTCCAGTTTGCCAGGCGAATTCCCTTCGGAACGGAACCTGCAAAGGCGATAATAGTATTACCACAAAAAGGAAAGAGAAGGTTTGATGAATGCCCTCCCACAAATTCTCTCCCCCCCCACCCCCCATGCTTTTCAGGGAGAACCAGAAGGATTTCCTGGAGCTTCCTCGGATTCAGCCCTGGAAACCTGGGAAGGCAGACAAGAGGGAGAAGGCATCTGATGCTGGTATGGAGGCTACCAAGAACAGGTTAATTAGACTGATCGGGAACCACAACAACTTTCCTCAAGGCACAGGCGTGGTACAGGTCCCTCCAGGACCTTTCCATGAGAAGAATCCTGCTGGACTAGACAGAAGACCCGTCCTCTCCAGGGCTTGGCATCCCACAGAAACCCATCAAAAGAGCTGGAAAACCATCACTTCTACCCAGCTCCTGCTATGATGAGATGCAATGTTAAGATAATTTGACTTAGGGTGTGCTGATCTCCAAGAACTAAGCCTAGATTTTACAGAATGTTGTGGGGTGGGGGGGTATTCCTAATTACATAAAACAAGCTGATCTCTTGGTGGTCCTGGGATGCATTCAACGGTGGAGACAGGGTGCAGGGGAGAAAGTCCCAACACAACAAAGAAAAGCCATGTTACATCACGGGCGGGGCTGGGAGTTGTGTGCTCTGTTTTCCCAAGTTTTGGGAAACTGTTGAGACTGTTAAAAAAATAGTATCAGGCCTATCTTAGGGCATGCCATATAATTTTTTTGGGGGGGGGGTCCTGCTTCCAAACAGTGCCAGCCTTAGGATAAAGCGGTTGACATCACCAGTAAGACCGTTGTTCCTTAATGCTGTGTCCCATTCTAGAAGCTGCAAGGGGATTTCTCAACATATGCTCCCACGCAGATGAAACTTTCCCCCTAGGCCTGATGAAAAGTTAAAAATGTTAGCTCACTTCTCAAGTCCACCCTGCTTGGGCTTCTGGGCTTGAATTACTGGACTTCCCTGAGAAGCTCTGAAGGCAGGATATAGTAACCCTGTAGTGGTTTGAACCCTGGTCAGGAAACCTGGGGAGAAAATCATCCATGCCTCACATTCTACCTTCCTTCTAGAATAGTGTTTCTCAACCTTAGCAACTTTAAGATGTGTGGACTTCAACTCCCAGAATTCTGGGAGTTGGTTCACAGGTCTTAAAGTTTCCAAGGTTGAGAAACACTGTTCTAGAAGAAAAGCAGGAAATTGTGAGATCTATCTACTGATCTACCTTAGAAGGTGCCAAACTACATGGCTCCTTGGAGGATGTTCAGAGATGGTGTCCACATGCAGTTGAATGCAACCTACTCAAGAACAGGTGGTGACTTCTTAACTATCACTGGCTATCTTATGACAGTGTGAGGGAGTGAAGTTGGGATTGCTGCCTGCGCTTGGGAAAAGCAGTTGCAGCCAGGCAGAAATTAATTCATTCACAACTTTACTCACAAGCATCCAAGCCGGCGTTCCAGCTGCCTTTGATAATTGAGCCATAACCTGGCATTTTCAAGGACAGGCCGACATCCAGAGGCAGCCTCACCCCACCCAGGCCCTTAGCTTACAAAAGCAAACGCTAAGAGAGAGTGGGGAAGGGAGAAGAAAAATGGGAGAAACGGAGATAAGCAAAGGGCATGTAGGCAGGGAAGTGGAGGCGACGTCTGGAGATTGGCAGCTATTACAAGCAGGCAAGAGAACTATCATTCAACTGCCAGGGCCACAAGCTACCAGTAGAAGGGAATGTATGTAGCTCAGGGTTGAACTGTGGAGTCCCTGGGTTCTCCACCACCAGCTCTAGTGAGTAGTGTATCCTGGCGGGAGTCCCGCCTGGAGCTTGGACTTTGCCAGGAGCTCGGTAGCAACTAGAAGAGGAACCACCGCAGAGATAGCACCTCATCCCGACCAGCGTTAAGAACTTTTGGAAGGAGGTGAAGGCCACTTTACAGACTAATAGACTTTTTCTTGAACTAAGTCTCGAAGGAGAGTATTAAAGAATTAATTAAGATTGAATTAAGATTGGCCCCCATCTTGATGCTGTTCCGGAAGGCCATGAAGACATGGTTTTGCCAGCAGGCCTGGGGACCCCAAGCTGAAAAGGAGCCGATCAAGTGGTGGTGTTGATTGTGTTTTTGGCCACTGCAGGGGGTGTTGGTGGGTTTTTGTTCTGGGGATTTTACTTTGTAAGTGCCTGGAGTCACTGCGTGTGAGCTGGGCGGCCATATAAATTTCCTAAATAAATAAATAAATAAAATAAATAACAACATATTTACATGGCAAGTCCTAGAAGGGTGGACAGCAATAGTCTATTGTTAGGGAAGGTGTGTGCTGCAATAAAACACTATGTACAGATTTGCTACAGTATGGTGTGTCCAGTCCTTGGAAAGTAAAGAACGCTCACAGACAGCAATAGCACAGGAATCTAATAAATTGCATGCACCACGTGGAATTCTCACCTGGGGGGACACCTGCACCCAGACGCCTCAAAGCTCAGGTAAAAAGAGGAGAGGCGGCGATCCCAGGAAAAATCCAGTAGGCCCATGTTTGTGATTGAGCACTTGCTACATGCCTTGTCATCTACAGTAATACCTCGGTTCACGAACGCTTCTGTTCACGAACAATTTGGTTCGTGAACAGCGTTCCCAAAATTTTGCTTCCATTCGCGAACTCCACATCGGGTGACGAACACGACCCGCGGCCATCTTCCCTGCTCTGACACGTGGTCGTGACTTCCTCTAGGTGAGATCGCGGTCGCAGACACTTGCTGTGAAGCTTTTTGGTGTCGCCTCAAGCAAGGTTAGT